TGAAGGATAGAGCAGAGTGACAAATGGACTGGGCTGGACAGATGTGGACTTGGATGGAATGATGGAAGTACTGGAGTATTGCACTGAGTTAAAATTTTAATCCGAAGACAAGTGGAAGTCTAGGGAACATAAGGGAGCTGGAGTCAGAAAGGTTATCCCAGCCAGGCTGCAGAGGAGCCAGCATTAGAATCCAGGTCTGCCTCTTGTAAAGTTCAAGCGTTTTCCATCATACCATCCTGTCTCTTACAACCACGCAATACAAATGAACTCTTCTTATGAAACTGCTCTTTCTATCTTGGTCTAACCTCTGCAGAGCGAAGATTTGATTTTTGGGATAGGGATAATTTGATTCTTCCCCTACTTCTTGGGTGAGATCTCCCCACCCAAGGTAATTAAGTGTGTTACTGTCCTTCCAGGGCAATCGAATAGTCCGTCACCTTCTATTACCAAGTATCAGTGCTCGATTCCCTGGTTTACTGTATGTGTCTACAAAGCTTGTGCAGATGAAGATGCATTTCCCAACAATTAAGACATACTGGAAAAGTCCCTATTTTGAATTCCTGGAATACAGCATCGTCCAGCCTAATATGCTTGCTTTTTAACCTTAAAAATCAAAAATGGTGATGTTTTACTGACATCCAGGCCATTGTAGTTAACTATAAAGAAAGAGAAAGACTTCAAGCAGCTGAAAGGAAATCGTAATCTGAGATGGTGCAAATACTGCTTGAGGCTGAGCTTTGGCTCATATCCTGCCCAAGTAAAGAAGTGCCCCTTAGGAGCAAAAGAGCCAGTGCCTGCCACAATGACTTATTTCCTTGTGTTAGATCCATAAGTGCTTAAGAAATGTTTTCCCCAAGCAGAAGGGAAAGGAGCTTTTGTCTATGTATTACTTCATTTGATTTTCACAGTAACCTTGGTCGACATTTTTCTGTTTTTATTCTTAAAATTTTTTGTCAGTTTCTCTCACATTCAGTCTAATGCCGCTATATCCCAAGTACTCTTTCTAGAACACTAATTTGAACTGTTGCTAGCCCACACACTCTACCAGCTACAGAATAAATTCTGGTCTTTAGTGTAACAGGTAACACTCTTTAGTTTTCAGAGTATCTGTGCAGCCTCATTTTTTTCTCTCTTTGTCCTTCGAAACTGCAATCATGCTAAACACCTGCTCTCCAAACAGCCCATTTTTTCATCCTTTATGGCCATGATAACAAAGAGATGAATAAAAGGAAGCTTGGAATCAGACTGCCTGAACTAGCAAAGGCTCATCACCAATTACATGCATAACCTCATGGAAGTTATTCAAACCTTCTATGTCTCATCAGCCAAATGGGAATCATTCTCTCAGGATGGATTATGGACAGTACCTGGATTAACTGATATAAGGTGCTTAAAATCATGCCTTGTACAACAAATGCACATTTAAACAAATGTGTTTACAATAGCAGTAGTTATGGTACCCTGAATAGTAAGGCTCTTGGCTTCTTGATAGAATGACTACATATATATTCATCTTTTGACAATCTCTTCATTCCAAAGGTTAAGTGCCTTCTCCATCCTCTAATGGGTTTGAAATAATGGCACTCACACTGGTGTTTTCCAGGTATTTAAGCTTCTCCCCCATCAGGGGATATGCTCCCAAAAAGCACAAATCATTTCTGATTCTTTCTTAGGTTACCAGGGACTAGCAGAATGTCTTCTTTGATGTCTAATAAATCCTACTTTGTGAAATAATTCTCCTTGGTGCAGTAGATGACCTGATGAATGAGGGTTCACACTAACTCTACAAGTGGTCTCTTTGCTTTCGTATTCCTGCTCATCCATCTCAATCCTTTCTCTCACAACAGCCCGCATGATCATCAGGGCGTGCCCCTCCACTGTGTTAGTGATTCAGTGGATTTCAGTTGCTCTTTGCTAAGAGCCAGCCTCATTACCACAGCCTACAAGTCCTTGCCACATGTGGCCTCTGCCTTTCCACCTCCATTCCAAGCTTCTGCTACTCCATCTTTGTTCTCAATTCTCCAGCCACACTGCTGCCTCCCAAACTTTAATTATTTTCCAATTCAAGTAAAGAATATTTTCATTTGAGCTTGCTTTTCTTTGGGCTATTATGTTCTACGTTTCTTGCTTTGATTTTTCTCACCTATCAACTCTCATTTTGAATACCATTTCTTCAAAGAGGACTCTTCTGGCCACTTTGGCTAATGGTGAGCCCTTCACCATCCGGTTAATCTTTATCACACTACCTACCTGTTTTCTTCTTGGTATAGGCCAACATCTGGAACTATCTTCTTTGCAATATTATCTGATTCTATCCCATGAGATGAGAGTTGCACTGGGGTGAAGACCTTGTCTGCTTCGCCATACTAAATACACTCTTCAAAGAGTACCTGGAACACAGCAGGTGCTCAAAAGATATGCCTTAAGCAAATGAATAGACACAAACAGATCTTTTGAGAACCAAGCTCTTCCACATGATCAGCGTCACCCAGAAATGACAAATTGCAGCACAATAAAATTGATGTTGTGTGCATATCAGAGAAAGAAGGTGGGATGCTGTCAAGGTGTCATGATGTACCAGTCCCTGCCATCTCAACACAATCAGCAAGTCCCAGCGTGAGAATAAGTTAATTTATGAGAAGCTTTTTCAGTCTTTAAAATATTAAAATCGTGCAAGCAAAAAATCACGGTCAAAAAAGCAAATGAATATAAAGCACACTAGCATAGTAGGGCTAAAAACACCTGGTTTAACTGAAAACCGGGGCAGTGAGATCTGCAGTAGTTTCTCCCTTGCCAGACCTCTGGGCAGAGTTGAGAGCTCCTAGGCAAAAATGTAGACAATTAGCACTGGGTTTTGTTATTGACTATATCAAATCTAACAATAAAATTGTTTCCCCAGCACTTCACAGTTCAGAAATAGCTCTACTTACACAGTTTATATCATTGATAGGAATGTGAATGATAGGGGAGCACAGTGGAAAATCTGCATAATTCAGTATCAAGAAAGCTGGCTCTGGATCCACCTGTGACCTTGGCAAATCACTTTCCTTCCCTGGGTCTCTGCTTTCTTTTTGGTAAAGTGAAGGTCTCAGACTAGATTGTTTTGTGAAGTCCGTTTAGCTTATGATTTATGTTTAACTCAGGATAAATCAGGGTTCTCTCATTCTAGGTCCAACACATAAAGCTCTTGTTGTGGCTCTTTCAGGAATCAATAAATCCTTCGGGTCCTAACTCCAATGATTTGAGTGATTGTTTTTTTTAGATGCCTGTGTAAGCAAAGAACTCATCTTTGGGTGCCCTTCACCCTTTTGTAATTTGTGTCTCTTGTTTGATGCCAGGTATGCCTGCTGTGTCTCCCCACAGGGTCCACCTTCCCAATTCTGAAGGCTTCGTACATTTCACATTACACTGTAGTGTCTTCCACACCACTGCTGAGAACAGCTGCCGACTTTCACTTGTTCAATGTTATAACTCAAGGAAAAATTGCTCAGTAGCTAATCTAGTAAATGATTTTCTGTCTTCAGGGGAAAGGCTACAGACATTCTCCTATGATCTAAATGCATGATCTGAGGATTATAGTCCTCCCATCTTTTTATATCTGTCTACCCTCCTTGCTCTGGAAGAGGGGGCAGAGCTCCTTGAATAGAAGGAGGCAGAAGGGAGTGTCTGGGAACTTGGATGTATGGGGAGGTGCACATTGGGATATTGCCCTTTACCATTCTCCTTCTACAATCTTGGTACCTTTGTATATCACTGGAACCCGTATGTTTTCATCTTCTCTGTTAAACCATTAATATTTCTATTTGTTTTATGTAAAATATGGCTCACGATAGCCTATGATCAGGAAACTATCTGCTTTTCAAATAAAAGCTATTATGGTCAGACAGAGCAATTAATTTCCTCTTTCCAGTCATAGCTTTCCAGTTAAAGAAGATTCCTGGGTAACTCTGATGTGTGTATTTGAGCTACAACTGTAAGATGTGAAATACTTGCATGAATCTTTAGTGCATTAGTTCATAATACTGTGTGCAGAACAGACTGATTGTCCGGATGTTCAGAAGTATCTGTAGGCCTGAATGTTTTTATAAGACTGGTGATATGAAATGCAAATTATATAAAATTCTCTATCTCTCTCTCTCACTCATCATTTTCTGTTTTTCTTTCTCTTTTGAAATATCAGTTTGGAGACTTAGAGTTACACAAGACATAAACGCATTACTAATGCCAGTTGGTGGTTATATTTGTTCATCTCCTCTCTCCTCTGTTCCACGAGCTGCTGTCTGAGGCTTTTTGCAGGCATATACGGGAAGATTGTCAACGCTGGGCTGAATCCTGCGCTTAGCAAGATTCCTAGAAATGTACTCAACAGTCAGGTTTACTACAGAGACGGAGAATCTGTTTTCCCTAGGCTAGTTTTTTTAATGCTGTAGGGCATATACCAATCTTCCACTCAGGTATTTTGCCCCACAGCCCTGTGCTTGACAACCAGGAAATCAACTTCTACAAATCACTGCCTGGAAGCTATCAGCCTATCAACTCCTTTTTGGAAAGAGTAAACATCAGGCTTCAGAGCACGTATGATGGATTTCTAATCTAAAAGAAGAAGCGTGTTAGGAATCAGCTTCAAAATAAGACCCAGATTACCCATTGGCATCTTACCTTCCAGGATGAAACTTTTTCTGATTTATTTTTAACAGACAAATGAACAAACCTCACATTGTGCAGCACTTCAGAGTCTTTTCTCTCCCCCACCCCCACCTTCGCTAGAAATTCAGAACCCCAGACACTGGTAGAAACGCCAAGAACAAAAGTATTTTCTGTCTGCAAGGGGATTTTCTGTGCTTCGTCGCTTTGCATGGTCGATGAGTCAATCTTTTCTTCCTCATCTCTTCCAGGGGCTGGAGAGGGCGAGGGAGACAGAAGAGCGGAGCCTGCAGGGCTGCCCTCTGATTGGCTGGCCTGACGTGGCTGGACTATAAAAGAGACTCCTGCAGGCTTGGGAGGAAGACGCTCAGAGGATTCTGACAGTATCTTTGTTGAAAAAAAGGCAACGTGCTCTTAAAATAGAAAACACAGCTCCTTCGGCTGCATTTCTCTCCTACCTGCGAATTTCACACAGTTCAACAAAATGTGCAAAGGACTCGCAGGTCTGCCGGCTTCCTGCCTGAAGAGGTGAGACTAACCATGTTAAACTTTTGGAAAGACTTTCTCAGTTACTTGCATGCTGTATTAACTAAGCTGATTCTTTGAAATTAGACACAGTGCTATCAGGAGAACAGCACCTTCTCATCTTTCCTCTAGGAACAGCTAGATTGTGTGACTTAGGAAGTATGCTCCCCAAATTTTGGTACTTGTGTGTTTTACATGACTCCAGCTTTTCAGACCAATTTTGACCTTAATGACAAATGCTTGAATCCAGGTAGTTTGAATTAAGAAGTAATTTCAGATTTGGAGTTATAATGTGGTTTGACCTCTGTCTGAAATTAATGTTGTGATTTGAGAATCATTTGGGCACACAGAATCACAACTCTGTGCTTTCCAATATGCATGTTAGGTATTATTTGAAAGAAATTATCCCGAATGAAGGTTTGGCCACATAAACACCATGCTTTCTGGGCAGTGCTGCAATGTCCTTCAGTCTGTGTTCTTTTAAGCAAATGTGACAATAAAATATGAGTTTCAAAGCCAGGCAGACCTGCTCTTGCCCTACCTCTGATTTTGAAGTGTCTTTATATGAGTGGCAGGTGAAAAGTATTGGTCATAACAAATCAGTTAAGGGTATGGTAGACAGGCTTATCTTAAAGACATTGTTTTATTGATATACTCCTGACTTAGAAGATCTTAAAGATTTATAGCTACTTATCTGACTTATCTGTCTTTGACTTTAAAAAAGAGATATAAATAAATAATTTCATAGAATACTCATATTGTTTAAGTGGAAAGGAAATACAAAATAAGTGTATATTACATTATTTAATCTTGCAGTTAACCTGCAAATAGAAATCACTTTACATTTCAATTTTAAAAATAATCACAGAAAACATAGTCTTTTGGGCGTTGTTCATAAGTCTACTTTTCCTATATTCTGTCACTCAGGAGGGTGAAAGTGTTAATGAATTCTTTCAAATGAAACAGGAGGGTCTGGCAGAGGAGTAGAAAATAAGTTCCTCTCATCATGAGTTTCCTAAACTGATAGAGCAAATTACTATAAACTTTGGTTAAGTTACATGTAAACTAACCTTGCAAAATATTAGGGATGTCAGGAGAAAGTTTTGATCTGTCAATACTTTAGGAGTCAAAAAAAGATTGCACTAGAATCCTTCCCTCAAAGAGTTAATTAAGTAGCTAATTGAGGAGGGAAACTCAGTGTCTGGTGTGAGCTGTTCTTCAGTCTCCCCTCACTGTAGACTGTAAATTATTGGCCCATCTCTAAACCACCAAGGCAGAAGCACCAGAGGGACTTTAATTGCTCAAGGTCACACAGATGGTAGGAGCACAGTGAGGGACAAATCCAGATTTTTGTCTCTAATGACTCCTGAAGTCTCTTGGATTTTTATTTTTAGAGTTCTTTTGTATTATAAGGATATTGCTAAGCTTTCTTCCAGTTCATGAAATGGCCCTGCCTTGGTCAGTAGCTGTTGGATTTCAGGTAGAAGCAGCACATGGAGATATGATAATTTCTGTCTGTACTGAATCACGATACACTTACGTCATCACCTTGGAATCACTGCAGTTTTCATGATGATAGCTAGCTATCGCTCTGGTGGTTTTTGTGTCCTCTGACCAGCCAGAAGTTGGGGAAGCAGAGGAAAAAAAAATAGTGCCATGGGGAGGCACTATTTAAAGGGGAGGCTAAAAACACAAAGAATTCAAACATTCTGAGAAAGACCACAGATAAGCCACTAGTGTGTCTAAGTGTCTTTTCATTCTTGTATCTCTTATTTTTCCCCCACTACATAGGAATATTTAGTTTCTTTTAAAAATGCTGTTTCTCCTTTTAAAACCATCTCTTAGGTTTCACAAAACAGATATAAATAAAAAATAGGAAATACAAAGTGAAAGAGCTGAGCTAAAAGATCTTTAAGAGGTCCTCCTTTACAAGTTAGTCAGGAGCTCTGCTGTGACCTGGTTGCCTAGTAAACGGTGACAATAACTGGAAACTCTAATTAAAACAATCATTCACTTTAGTGATGACTCTAGGTTGCTTCTCCTTATTCCAATGCTCCAAAGGCCTTTGCTAGTGCATATATCTCTTTATAGTATAAATTTGAAAAGGAAGGTAGAGCTGGAGATTGTCTACAAACAAGCCTAAAGGACCTCAGGTTTCTGCCTGAGTATTGGTGTCTGCCACCTGCTTGTCCTTTCCCTCTGCAAAGCCTTCACACTTCAGGATGCTCTCCATGCACCCCATGATGGGATTGCTTGGCCCCTCGTACACAGGGCTGCAGCCTCACAGACCTTTATTTTCCTGAGCCGGAAGCAGCTTTCTCTATGTAGACAGAGAGGCAGATGGAAATAGCAGCCATCTGACAGAAGGTGGCAGGAGCAAGCAGGTGCCATATGGACTTGCTTTAAATTCTTAAAAATGACTCAAAGAACAGTTTTGTGGTCAGTGTGCTTCTACGGATGATACCAATGGTTCTATTGGATAAAAACAGTGGGTATACAGAAGAAATTTCTGAGATAAACTATAAGTTCAAATTTCCAGTTACAGGTAAAGGAACCAGAACTTTTATTCTGGTTCATAATTTTGTAATAAGTCATAGGCAGAAGCAGAAAGACAAAAAAATTTCCCCTAAGAGTTTATTGCCCATTCTTTAAGTAAATTGTGTAGTGGTGATGGATTCTGTAATCTCTACCATGAAAGAGTTATCATTATTAATTCTCTCTCCCCCCCATCCAGTGCAAAAGATATGAAACATCGACTAGGTTTTCTACTGCAGAAATCTGATTCCTGTGAACATAATTCTTCCCATAGCAAGAAGGACAAAGCGGTTATTTGCCAGAGGTAAGAGACAAGGCCTTGGTAAAGTTTCATTGTGCTATCTAATGATAGGTATATTCTATGAAGAGTAGAAAGTTATGTCCCTAATTAAACTAGATGCGAATCAAACTGGCCTCTGTTTTCATGGACATCATACTAGAATGAAAATTTCCATAGATTTAAAGATAAATCTGTCCTGAACAACAATAGATCTTAGAAAAATCATGGAAGAAATAAAATCTTTAGCTTTTATTTAGGATTCTAGTTTTCTTGTTCTTATTCTATACCATGACAACATTCAAATTATTATTTTTCTCTATTAATGTCTCTAGAGTAAGCCAAGAGGAAATCAAGAAGTGGGCTGAATCATTGGAAAACCTGATTAGCCATGAATGTAAGTCTCACACCCCATACTCCCCTGGGCTGAAAATTATAGAAGTTATCTCATGTTATGCCAGTCTGCTAGGAACCACAGAGTCTGGGCCCCTTCTGACTGCCAGACCCAAGATAAATGTTGATCTTATATCTAGTATGTTTAAAATTTTACCATATCCTGGAGTTTTGTGATATACAATGGGAAGTTCATGCAGGAACTGTGTGAAGAACCATCACTCGCACTGCATAGAAAAATGAGGGAGAGAAAACATTTTAAATATTGAATTCTTTCTTCAGAATTAACCGCAGTTTCTCTTTTCATTAAACCCATTTTGTCAAGTAACAGCTACCTAGATTTTTTAGAAACATAACAACCTCTTAAGATAGGTTTCAACTTTGAGTAAGAATTGTTAAAAGTGTAATTGGCATCTTGTAAATACCAAACACAAATTAGGGTTACCAGATCTTAAGTGAAAAAAAAATCCAGGAAGGTAGGGCCAGAAATTTAGCTCAGTGGTTCTGCCACCTTTCTTGCAAGTGCAATGACCTGCAGTGGATCCCCAGTACCAGAAATTAAAAAAAAAAAGGAAGGTTTCTTGAACCCATGCCTATCCCCCTATGCACCTCAGATTTATTTGAAGTAACCAATAAGCCAACCAGTCTGATGATAACTGTGATTCTTTCTCTTGTGTCACAGGTGGGCTGGCAGCTTTTAAAGCTTTCTTAAAATCTGAATACAGCGAGGAGAATATTGACTTCTGGATCAGTTGTGAAGAATACAAGAAAATCAAGTCACCCTCTAAACTAAGTCCCAAAGCCAAAAAGATATATAATGAATTCATCTCAGTCCAAGCAACTAAGGAGGTAAGTTTTCAAGGCAGAAAAATCTCAAGATCTTATTGAAGGTTCCTAGAGTGGTATTCAGTGGCATGGAACTTTAGATCATATATGGTAAAGTGAACAGTGGAGTAGGCTATTATAATCTTGATAACTCCCCCAAAATCTGCAAATAAAAGAGCTCTTTTTTATCTATGTGACCTCTCTCAGTTTTTCTGATCAATCCCCCCAAGTATTGGAGAAGGAAAAGATATTTCTCTTCCAACCTTAGTGCAAAATGAACCTTTTGTACTCTCTCACCTATGCCTGGATGAAACCAAAGGTTCTCTATTGCATTCTGGGATGTGGAGGTGCACAGTGCCTAATTTTTCAGTACAAAGCCTGCAGCACCACCTCCCCCATCAGCTAGATTACAGATCTAACAAAACCTTGCTCTTTACCCCTCAGGTGAACCTAGATTCTTGCACCAGGGAGGAGACAAGCCGGAATATTCTGGAGCCTACAATTACCTGCTTTGATGAGGCCCAAAAGAAGATTTTCCACCTGATGGAAAAGGATTCTTACCGTCGCTTCCTCAAGTCTCGATTCTACCTTGATTTGGCCATTCCTTCCAGCTGTGGGGCAGAGAAGCAGAAAAGAGCAAAGCGTGCAGCAGATTGTATATCCCCGCTTCCCCAGTGTGCTTAAGTCTTTCCTGGAGGCAGAGTGCCAAAATGCCAAGACTCTATGCTCTGGAAAATCTGAGGCCAAATACTGATCGGTATTATGCACAGTGCTTTATCCACATTGTAGCCTAGTGTTCATGCTGCCTGCCATGTGGGAACCACTTCTATGTAAAAGCTAAATTTAATCATGGGGTTTGGATGTTCAGCAGGGTGGGACCTCATTCCAGTCCAGTTTCTCCAAGTGTCTTTAGGCTGTCATGGGAGCAAGCATCCAGATAATGGCCTTGCCTGTCGGTCTGTATTATCAAAGATTGTTGGCAGTGCCCTCCTCCCAGCCACATGATCTCAGGTTGGCTGGTTGGTACACTTCTTGTGACATCCACATGAACATGTTTTCTGTCATCCGTAACTTCCTCCAGATTCCCTGTGCTTAGGTGAGGTTGATCTGTTATATACAAGTGTGTGCATGTGTGTATATTAAATATATATGTACATGTACATTCTGTATATATTTATGTGTTTATGTATTCAGATCTCTGTGTATTCTGCAAGAGTTGATGGAAAAGATCCCAGGTGCTCAAATTATACTGTGTATGCAGGTTCTGATCTTTGAACTGCCTTTGAATAGAGGAAGGTGAGCTAATTGTCATGCAGACTGAGAGAAGAATGCTAACTGTGGAAAGTTAGTTCTGAAAAATCCTTGTGTGTTTCTGCAGATTAATCCAGGGGACTTCGTGTTTAATTTACCACAGATGGTCGCCACCTTGAGCACGAGTCTAAGGAGCAGATACCATAGAGCATTATATATCCTGCTAGCACAGAGCTGTGTTGCACCAGTAATCACTAATGGCACTTTTGAATCCTGAGCTGATGGCTGTCCTTTCTTTGCCTGGGTGCTCAGGCCATGCTTATTGGTGACTGGGTTGGTCTGCAGCTTGGAGATAGGATTCTTGAGCTGCATGAGGAAATGTAAGCAAAGTCTTGCTAGCTAAGCCCTACCATAAGTTACATGCTAAGTGAGGGCAAAGAATTTAAAGGTTATTATTTTTATCCTCTGTCCTTTTTCCCTCAATTGATCAAGGTGCTCTCTTTCCCCTCCTGAGAAACTTAGCCATCAGATGAGCCTCCTTAGTTCATTGTGGCTGGTTGTTTCACCCCATTACAGTTCTAGGCTAAGGCCCTACATTTATAAGCCTAAAGCAGGAAAAGGGTTATATTTCTCACAAATTGAAAAGCCCTCCTAAGTTTTCTCCTAAGTCAAAATCATGTTTATTCTATCCAAAACATCAGAAATAGCAGAGAATACATCTATTTCTTCCTAGGCTCTGAGATTAAAGAGAAGAAAGGAAAGGAACACGAAAAGAAAAAAAAGGATAATAATGGTTAGAACTACTGTTTGAAACTTTTCAAGGCACATAAAATACTTGAAAATTTCTTGTTTATGTTATTTATGATGTTTTTACAATGTTTTTAAAATTATAGTATTGTTTTATAAGTGAAAGTACAGGATCTTACCTGAATTACTAATGATGCCTAGGAAGTAATTTTCTTCTCATTCTTTTAAAACTATCTCCTTTCTAAGTGTGGACACACCTGCACACCTCTCCCACACACACATTGCATCCATTGCTCCAATTTAATTTACATGTGTTGCACCTTTGTGGCTTTTAAGCCAAGTACTGGGCTGTAAAATGAAGACTCTATGGTGTGTGTATACAAATCCCATTGTGTAAAAATGTAGGTTTTCTAAGCCTTCTTATCTTTCTGGAAGTTTTGCTCTTAGTGTCCCAGAGTTCCTTGTCAGTGTCCATTTTTTCTATATACAGTTCCACATCCTGTCTGTAGCCAACTCCAGGACCCAAATGTATAACTTCTTGGTCTTGCCCTATGAAAATACATTTTGACGTTCAGATTGTACCTGTACTCAGAGACCGCTGTCTCATAAATAGGTCTGGAAGGCCTTTCTGAATGAGAAGTAAATTATTTTATGAAATACAATTTTTGAGTGTGTTTTTCAATGGTATTTTCTTGTGACTTCATCACCATTTGATATGGTGAGTTTGCCTGTCCATGGTCTGTGGACAGAATAGCCCCTCGATATGCATGCTTCTATCATCTGCTTTGTAGGCCTCAAAGATAATGCTGCCAGTGAACACACCTATCTTAATCATGAGCATTAATAAATGCTTCATACAAAACTCTCTGCTTGGAAACACATTAATGATCCCCAGAGACATGGTATGAGAAACAGTAGTGCATTGGGTAGCTTTAGAAAATGATTCACATAAAGTCTTTCGTCCCTTCCACGCCAACTAATTCTGGGAAAGGAAAGCAGAAAAGGAATATTGTTTATGCTTCAGTCCCTGCCATGGCTCTGTCTGGTTCTACTCAAAGTATTAGGGTAGGCTTGGCATCAGACACCTTGCCAAACAGACTCAGAGATCTGCTCGCAGGTACTTGATAGGTTTTTAAGTATCTTTCAGAGCATCTGCTCCCCTACTTCCAGTCGCCTGCTTCATTGAAAGAGTTGAAGAGACCTATAGCTATCTGGGAGACAAATCCCAGCCCAAGCTAGTCACAATCTTTTCTTCCCTTAGCTAATTCTGTTCTGTGGAAAAGAGGTCACAGGATGTTCATATCTGAAGTCATGGGCCCTGGGTCTAAGATGCCATGAAAGCTTCCCTCCTCGTTTCCTAAACCCCTCCTCTCCCATTATAGGAGTCAAAATTACAGGTGTCAGAGCAGATTTTAAACACTTTTGAGTAACTGATTCTTTTAAAGATCTGGAGACAGCCCCGGATCATCTCCTTTAAGACATACATGGGTGGCCTGGACTAGGTTGTGGCACAGAACTGTAGCACACACAGAATATCCACAAGCTGATGGGCAAAGAGTGGAGTGTTACTTGACTGCAGCAGAACATTGCCTACTTTGAGAAATGCAGAGACAGTGATGCTATCTAGTATGCTAAGCCATTTTTTTAGGGGGAGATACCAGAGCATGGATTAAGAAGACTCATTCACAATGTTAGCAATTTTTTTTAATAAAGCTGACTTTGTTTAGGGTATTCCACAACCCAAGATAGCTTAGGCTGTGTTCTGACACTCCATATTATTACTGCTTAGATTTTTACAGTTAGGAATGAAATGACAGAAGGATGAAAGTGGAGAAAAGGAAAATAAAAAAGAATTATATTGAAAGACTAATCAGTTCAAGTCAATGAGTTTAGGGCATAAAATTCATTACAGAAAAGCCATTTAAACAAAATGGCTCAGTTCACTGGCCATGTAAAACCTAAAATGCTCTATTCATTTAATTTGATGGCTGAATACAAAACATGAATCCGCTTAGGTTATGTGTGTGTGTGTGTGTGTGTGTGTGTGTGTGTGTGAGTGTGTGTACTAGAAATTGAACCCAAGGCCTTCACACTGAGTTACATTTCCAATTCTTTTTAAATTCTTTAATCAATGTCATTCTAAGTCACAAAGTTGTCTAAACTGGAATCAGAATTGCCATCTTCCTGCCTCAGCTTCCTAGGGTGCCACCATATTCCACTCTGCTTACTTTATTAAGCTATAAAATGACCATCTAAATTGCCTATTGTTTTAATATGCGGTGTTTTCACTTCTTTAACATATATGTGAGGAAATATGTCATGAGATGACAAAATGAGATTTGTCTTTTTTGTGATATAGAATACCAGAAACATTAGATAATTTAGGATTTAATTAGATTTAGAATACAATGCTTAGATTTTTACATACAAAGAGCCAAAGGAGAGTTGTGATTAGAGGCTACTTTATTTCCAAGATGCATTTTAGACATAAAAGCAATGCTTGGAGAGAGAGCAGGGTTTCTACATTTTAATGGTAATGTGTCATATGCATGTCATATGTTGTAAGTACCAAGCCTATGTTCAATTCATTACATGATTTTATTTAGCCCTTACAGCAAAACTGAAGTAGGTGATCTTGTATTTTTCCATTGTGGATAGAGAAATTTTGATATAACAGAGTTCAGAAATTTACTCAAGGTCAAATATCAGAAAAGAGGTAAAGTTAAGGTGAAATCTAGAAATCTGCTTGTAGCATTCACATGCTTACTTACTTTAATCAAGGAAAAATAAAAAGAGAAGATAATAGGAAGAGGGAGCCAAAATAAGCAAGGGAAGAATAACAAGAAGAAATAGAAATGGAGAGAAGAGGTAAAAAGATCAGAAGAGTAAAATAAATAGAAGAGATGGGGAGAAAGGAAGGAAAATGTAGGAGACAGGAACTTGAAAGAGTGAGAAAAAGAAAAGAAATAAAGGAAAAGGAACCTTTTAATGAGAGTTTCTTTTTCAGTTAATCTGGGGAATGAAGGCAACCTGACTCCTGTTCCTTACAGAACATTTTTCATATTTTTAATATGCCCAAGATTTAGTATATGTTCACATACTCTTTACCTTTGTGAAAAGGACAAAATGGCAAACACTCATGTGTATTCATGTTGCAAGTTGACTAGCAAGAGCCCTGTGCTGCCACTGGGTTATCTCTACATCCTGCCTGAGATAGGGCAGGAGGGAGGTCTCCCCAGAATTAGTGAAAATGCATTGTGGAGGCAAGGAAGACACAAAAGTCACGTTCTTCTCTAAGAATCACTTCTGTTGCCTTTTCTTTCTATAAATTTGCCAGATCCTGAAACATCAAAAAACATTTCTTTCTTTAAAAAATGCACACACACACACACACACACACACACACACACACACACAAAGGAAGATTTTTAAAAGACAGAAATATATCTTGACTCTTTTGGTTTCAATTTACTGCTACGTGGCACTGAGAATTGGAGTCACTTAGCCATTGAGGAAATCACACGCAACCAGGACCCCAGTTGACACAGGCATTTGGCACATGGTCCTGGTCACGTTGTTACTTTTCCCCCGGGAGGGAAGCTAGTGGTGACCGCAGGAACTGGGTTAAAGGGAACCCTTTCAACCCCAGGACACAGGAGAGTGTGGAAAGCAACATGGTGCACAAGTTTGTGAGCTCACCCGTGGGAACTGGCAAATGGTGACCTCAGCAGTGCAATTCTGAGGGTTGGCTTTGGGTGCAGTGCTTCTGAAGAAAGGGAAACAAGAGTTTTGTGGATTTTTAAAGTGTAATATTTATAAAATTCCCAGATTATTCCATTAATCCATCTGGCTTTTGTGGTTGCTATCTTCTTCCAGTACAGTACATCCCTGAGATAATTCTTCAATAACAACAAGTTATGGGAAACAGTGTCTAGCTAAGTCACATTCTAGAGAAGTTCAGCTTATGTTTTCTCTTGCCATCATATTTATGAAATTTGCTTTCTTTCTCCTTTCTCCTGTAAGATTCTGTGTTTTTCTCATCTTGCCTTCTAGTTGATATTTTCATGCTGTTAGAGTGTTAGAACAACTTTTCGAACGGTTTGCAAATTCCAAATCAAATATATTCCCTCCTCCACCATTTCCTACCTTGGTATGGCCTAAACTTTTATGGAGTCCCTCTACTAGGAAGCATAGAATTATCCCTTCTGACTCATCCCACACACTACTCAATAGTCACCCATCTCTGCAGAATTCCTCTCCAAGAAACCTCTCAAAGCCCGTTTTTGCTTCTCTACCTGCATGGGTGTCTCCATCCAGGGCCTTATGGTGCATGATATGCTTTTTTGTTTATTTTTGTACCATAGCCTTTCTACTGGCCTCTTTCCTTCCAGTCTGGTACCCTGTAAATCAATTCAAATAACTGTAAATAAGTTATTAGTCGCACATTTGATTTATCTCCTCCTGAAACTTTTCAATGAATTCAAATCTGTAGGACAGTATATAAGACATGCCTTTCAAGCCCAGCTCTCTGGTCTCATGGCCTGCTCCTCCATTGACGTAGATGTAAAGATTTGCAGTTCCTGGAGTGGCACATTGTCAGCTGCTTCTGTCATTGTCCACATAGTTCCTCTCCTTTATCTAGCAAATTTCTACTCTTTATTTTAAACTCATCTCAAGACCCACCCACACTGAGACCTTCTTCCATTTACCGGCATGATTTAAACGTTCTTCTCTGTGGTTTCCTTAGTACTTTAGCATGCTTTTAATACTGGCACATTGTCCTAGAACCATCGTTTTAAAAGTATGTCTCAGAGGGATGAACCATGTTTCATCTGATTTTGTGACCCTTACACTGAGCAATGAGCCTAATACATAGAAGATGACTATTTTTTAAGAGTGACGGCATCAGGAAATGATCCATCCAGCTCCCCGCATTTCCTGAGTGCTCTGCATATACTGTTTATGCGATGTGATCCTCTCAGAATCTAATATATTCTTGCCATTTCTTGTGTGGAAAATGCTAGGGTGTTTCTTCCAGCCTTATGGTGAGGGCTGGGAGTGAAATACTGATAGTAGGGAAGATCTGGTTGGAGATACTTTAATGAGAAAAAAAAAGATTTTAAAGAAGTTGTAAGACTACAGGCAACACTTTCATATATCTACTTTATACATATAATTTAAGTTTTATATATAATTGTGTATATAATGAAAGTCAAAATACTTCTTTATGTATGCAAACTTGTCAATTATGTCCACAGTACAAATTCACTAGAATGTATTATTTATTCTCCACTAGTGGCACTCTGCTTACATTAATTAATTTAGTATACGCGACCACTCTCTGATAAAACAGCTCTCAAATTTATTACCTCCTTTCAACAGATGAGAAACTGAGGCCCAAAGGGGGAAACACCTTGTAGCTCATAAGCAATGAGCCAGAACTGGTCCCAAGACAACGTGACCTCTGAGCCAAAATGCATCACACATGAGCCCACCTTGTCTACAGGCTGATCACTCAAAAAGTACAACAAGTAGACCACTCTTGCCTCAAAAAAATCTCTCTCTGAAAATTTCTTCTCCTAATCCTGTATCACATTTATTTCTTGGTATGCTTCTTTGTCCACTTTTTCTACTACTTGTGTCAAGACAGCTTGCTTAAGACCATCTTTTCTAACAGTCCACTGTGTTTTTTTCAAATCTTCCTCTCAATCTTCACAAGGTATTCTTATATTTGAAATGACAGAACTTTTAAAACTAAACCTCAATCAGAGCTGTATTTGCATTTCCATCACAGCCAATTCACACAGCTGCCTCTTTAATTTCTACCCCCTCCCACTAGCATCTGGATGCAGTCC